CCATTGTTAAATTCCAGGAGTCAGGAAATCTGAATAGGCTTGTTGCTCTGGACTCTCAGAATCTTCTACAACGGACAAAATTTAATTGTAATCATAAATTTCAAAATGTAATATCAACTGCAACATTAATTAAATAATTAGCTAGACCTTTATATTAAATATACACAATGTTGATGTCTATTAATTAAATATTTGAAATAAATGGTTATTGTAAAGCTATATATTAGTCAAAGCGCATCAACATCAATTATCATTTCATTGACAAATAATTGAAACTAAATGACGCTTTTGTATACCTTCAGAATGCATTATTCGATAATCAGTATGAATTTTTCATTATGAAACTGATTGTGAATGTAAAGCTGATTCAATAAAGAGTTGAATTACTTATAGTAAACAGTTCAACTGAATTATCTACATTCACTTGAATTGCTTTCTGCACCATTTACTGTTTGTTTTTGTTTCCCGCAAACTATACAAATTCATATATTAAATATTTTCTTGGGTTGTTGTAAGCAAAAAGTACTTTTATACAAACTTGGTTTTGTAAAATAAACTATAAGAATTTCTTAGTATTTTTAAACTTAATTTATTCATAGAATATTAATGATTTTATATGACTAAAATGATGTTTATACCAGAGTGAATTTTTTAATTTATTGAAAAATATAACGAGAATCGTAGTTTGAATATTTAAGTTTTTATTTGAATAAAATGAATCCCACATGCCATAAAACTTGCTGAAAGTTGTGACCTTCTAGTCAAAATGTTCATGTTTCTTTTATAAGAATATACATTTATATGTCTAATTTCCAACAATAGACCATTATCCCTAGACAATATAGTAATATTGCCTTTATCTTTATGAATTTACATTCCCATGAACATGTAGTATAAGAACTGTCAAACGTTTGACGTATGGAGTCGGTGGCGTCATCTAACACAGAACCATATGAACCCGGTAGTCACTACGTAGTTCCTCACGAATTGGGAACGATTTTGCATAGAGGCGCTGCATGCAATCCCCTTAGAACCACATGAATCTTAGTGGATTCCTATTGGACTACTTTATACACTAGTATATATAATTATGGTCCCGGCTTAAGAGAAACATCAATATATACATTTATATATCGCTTTATACGCCATTAGATATATAATTATGGTTTCGATTTGGATCGAATATCAATATATACATTTATATATCGCTTTATACGCCATTAGATATATAATTATGGTCTCGATTTGGAAGGAATATCAATATATACATTTATATATCGCTTTATACGCCATTAGATATATAATTATGGTCTCGATTTAAAAGGAATATCAATATATGCATTTATATATCGCTTTATACGCCATTAGATATATAATTATGGTCTCGATTTAGAAGGAATATCAATATATACATTTATATATCGCTTTATACGCCATTAGATATATAATTATGGTCTCGATTTAGAAGGAATATCAATATATACATTTATATATCGCTTTATACGCCATTAGATATATAATTATGGTCTCGATTTAGAAGGAATATCAATATATACATTTATATATCGCTTTATACGCCATTAGATATATAATTATGGTCTCGATTTAGAAGGAATATCAATATATACATTTATATATCGCTTTATACGCCATTAGATATATAATTATGGTCTCGATTTAGAAGGAATATCAATATATACATTTATATATTGCTTTATGCGCCATTATATATATAATTATGGTCTCGATTTAGAAGGAATATCAATATATACATTTATATATCGCTTTATACGCCATTAGATATATAATTATGGTCTCGATTTAGAAGGAATATCCATATATACATTTATATATCGCTTTATACGCCATTAGATATATAATTATGGTCTCGATTTAGAAGGAATATCAATATACACATATATATATCGCTTTATACGCCATTAGATATATAATTATGGTTTTGATTTGGATGGAATATCAATATATACATTTATATATCGCTTTATACGCCATTAGATATATAATTATGGTCTCGATTTGGAAGGAATATCAATATATACATTTATATATCGCTTTATACGCCATTAGATATATAATTATGGTCTCGATTTAGAAGGAATATCAATATATACATTTATATATCGCTTTATACGCCATTAGATATATAATTATGGTCTCGATTTAGAAGGAATATCAATATATACATTTATATATCGCTTTATACGCCATTAGATATATAATTATGGTCTCGATTTGGATGGAATATCAATATATACATTTATATATCGCTTTATACGCCATTAGATATATAATTATGGTCTCGATTTGGATGGAATATCAATATATACATTTATATATCGTTTTATACGCCATTAGATATATAATTATGGTCTCGATTTGGATGGAATATCAATATATACATTTATATATCGCTTTATACGCCATTAGATATATAATTATGGTCTCGATTTGGGTGGAATATCAATATATACATTTATATATCGCTTTATACGCCATTAGATATATAATTATGGTCTCGATTTGGATGGAATATCAATATATACATTTATATATCGCTTTATACGCCATTAGATATATAATTATGGTCTCGATTTGGATGGAATATCAATATATACATTTATATATCGCTTTATACGCCATTAGATATATAATTATGGTCTCGATTTGGATGGAATATCAATATATACATTTATATATCGCTTTATACGCTATTAGATATATAATTATGGTCTCGATTTGGAAGGAATATCAATATATACATTTATATATCGCTTTATACGCCATTAGATATATAATTATGGTCTCGATTTAGAAGGAATATCAGTATATACATTTATATATCGCTTTATACGCCATTAAATATATAATTATGGTCTCGATTTGGATGGAATATCAATATATACATTTATATATCGCTTTAATATATAATATATAATATAATATATATCACATCTAATGGAGTATAAATCGATATAAACATTAATATATCCAGTTTCCACTTAAACTAAAGCAGCAAAAACACATATAATTATGTTTAAATCGGTATATAAATTTATATATTTAATTTCCATACAATAGGCCATTATTCACTGGTCGTCGAAGAAATGTCAAACGTTTGACTTATAGGTCGGTGGCGACATCTAACACAGAACCATATGAACCCGGTAGTCACTACGTAGTTCCCATCGAACTCGGAACGATTTTGCATAGAGGCGCTGCATGCAATCGCCTTACGAACCACAAGAATTCATAAGTTCTTGTTCACTAAAAAACCTCATCAGAAAGAGTCCCTACAAAGCATCAAACACATTTTCATAAATGAAGATTGATAACAATATGCTGCAAAAGAAGTATTTTTTCTCTTTATATACACCATCATTTAGGATTCTTTCCTTATGTCTGCAAGATATACTGAAAATATACAGGGATACTCAATTTTAATTGGAAAATATAGTTAAAAATGAGTTTCTAAATGGAAAATTTTATTTGAACAGGGAGATGTTAAATGGCAATAGAAATTCTTGTACCTCCCCGATTAACGCTGAAGAGTAATTCAATTGATGGACCTGCGTTTGTTCAGGCTACATTATATATATATATATATATATATATATATATATATATATATATATATATATATAATCAGAATCATAAATATGTATGTTTAGTTTGAGTTAAATATAACAGATGAAAACATTATTACTCCATGGTATGTTAATATTTAAACACCCACATTTTTCACTAACTTCAATCATTTTAAAAAGTCATACAGATATAGAAATTGTTTTTATTTAGAATAATATTTATGAAATATATATATATCTATATATATATATATATATATATATATATATATATTTAATTTTTATATATAATTTTGATGTTGAAATATTTGATATTCAGTTTTCAGGGCAATACATCAATTAAAAAATTTGTATGACTTTAAAACATTTTTATTTTTTCCATACGTTTCGACACATAGTTTTGTGTCATCTTCAGTGGACTATGTAATTGTAATAATCCTAATTATTTCCTAATTATATAATTATATAATTAGGAAATAATTAGGATTATTACATAATTATATAATTAGGAAATAATTAGGATTATTACAATTACATAGTCCACTGAAGATGACACAAAACTATGTGTCGAAACGTATGGAAAAAATAAAAATGTTTTAAAGTCATACAAATTTTTTAATTGATGTATTGCCCTGAAAACTGAATATCATATATGTATATATATATATATATATATTTTATAATATATTTTAGTTGATAGATTTGTTGATAAAATATAAATTGTAATGGTGTAGTATTAATATTTTATCTTGTCACAAGTATAATTATTTTAATGTTGATGAAAAGCAATTATTATTAGATGAAATGCATTAGTTAAAATATATTGAATATTAGATGTAATATTTATCTTCCACGTTTTAAACAAAAATCCTGAACTGATTTCTGAGAAGGTGCCATTTCTACGCAATAGACCATTGAAAAATTTTTTTTTATGGTTTTGATCAATTTTTTTGATAGAAATCATGGTCTTAACATAACACATCCTAAAGTTTTGCAGGTTTTTGACAATAAAGGGCTGGATCAAAATTTCAAATTTTCAAAAGTTGCTACACCATAATTTTTATTGATATTTATAGATTTGAGAAAGTCATTTAACTTTTTAAGACAGTATGTAATTTAATTTATTCATTGAATTACATTCTTAAAATATATGACTTGAATTTCAGTGTTTGTGTGTATGATCTACACAAGCATTTTTTATGTAAAATGTATTATGAATGTGCTTTTGTTTTATTACAATAAAATCAACAGAGAAAAGTTTGTTTCGATATAATATCTGAAATACATTTAATTATTACTTTATAACACAAGAAATAAAAAACGATTTATTACTTAGATGTAGATACATGTATCAACAACCATTTTAGAATGTATACAGAAAGAAATACAATAAAAGACAAGTTATGTTATTTATTTCATCTGATTTTATCACATAAAAACCAAAATAAGTAGCATGGATTTCATACTTTTAATTATAAAATGCAGTACAGTTTAAAATTTGTCAAAAAGACAGTGTTACTTATTTAATAATACATGAAATTATGCAACTTACATTTTCATTTTGGATAACGTATTTCTAATCCAATACTCACTTATTTTATTAAATTATGCATTAAAAGTAGCTAAAAAGTCAGCTACAATTTTCTTTAATTGGGCATCAGATGCTTCACTAATCGTTCCTTCCTTGGCAATGGTTTGCAAAAGGGATGAATGGTTGGCTCTGAAAAATATCATTAATGTGAAATCTAGTATCTTTAATTAATAGATTAACATAAAACTTATACTTACTTGATGTGAGCGTTAAATTCCTTTTCAAATGCTGTGATCTTGGTTGGGTCCATTTTGTCCAAGTGTCCTCGGACACCACAGTAGATAATTGCAACTTGTTCTTCAATAGCCATTGGGACATATTGTCCTTGCTTCAATAATTCAGTCAAACGAACACCTCTGTTTAACAATTGTTGTGTGGCTGCATCAAGATCTGAGCCGAATTGGGCAAAAGCAGCCACCTCACGATATTGAGCTAATTCCAGTTTCATGGAACCGGCAACCTAAATAATTGTTTATTATCAGATTTTATTCAAAGCTTCAGTGCATGAAGATATACCACTTTATTAAAATATGAAGTGATTTATTGAAATTTTTTATGTTTTGATACATATTTTTGAAAATTTACCGAAACAAAAAACTAGAACAGAAATAAGCATACCTGTTTCATGGCTTTGGTTTGTGCAGCAGAACCTACACGAGATACAGATAAACCTACATTGATGGCTGGTCGAATACCCTTGTAGAACAATTCAGTTTCCAAGAAGATTTGACCATCAGTAATGGAAATGACATTAGTTGGAATATAAGCTGATACGTCACCAGCTTGTGTTTCAATAACTGGCAAAGCAGTCAAAGAGCCACCTCCATGAGCTTCAGACATTTTAGCGGCACGTTCAAGTAGACGTGAGTGAAGGTAGAAGACATCACCTGGATAAGCCTCACGACCTGGAAAATAATGAGTTGTACTTTTAAACTAAAAAGTAAATTAGAATTCTTTAGAAGCCAAAGGCCAAAGCAGCTACTAATGCACAACACACTTTATTAAATGATTAAAAAATATTAACCTGGTGGACGACGTAACAATAGAGACATTTGACGATAAGCAACAGCTTGTTTAGATAAATCATCATAGATGATCAAAGCATGTTTTCCATTGTCACGGAAGAATTCACCCATAGCACATCCAGAGTATGGAGCAAGATATTGAAGAGGGGCAGCATCAGAAGCAGTGGCTGATACAATGATGGTGTACTTCATAGCACCTAAATTGCATAGTATACATTAATTAAAATATCCATAACATAAATTTTAGAAGTGAGAATGCATTACAATTATCTAAAATAATTGTAATAGGAGGTCAGTTATTCTTTGGATTCCTTTAATATAAATATATTACCTAATTCTGTGTAATGTTATATGTAGAAGAAAAAGTAGATTTCTTTTTATGAGAAATGCTTAAATAAACTCACCGGCATCTGTTAACCTCTTGACAATTTGTGCCACAGTGGATCTCTTTTGACCAATAGCAACATAAATACAGTATAATTTTTTTTTTCATCTTGAGCATCATTGAATCTCTTTTGATTAATAATGGTATCAATAGCTAAAGCAGTTTTTCTAAAAAATAAAATATATTATATATTATGTTTAGTTTTAATTATCTAATATGTGAGCTTGTATTCATTGTGGGAATGATATACATTTTAACTTTGATTATGGAAATATGTGTGGAATTTACCCTGTTTGTCTGTCACCAATAATCAACTCACGCTGACCACGACCAATGGGTACAAGAGAATCAACAGCTTTAATTCCAGTTTGCATAGGTTCGCGTACAGAGACACGTGGAATGATACCGGGAGCTTTAGTTCCTACACGGAATCTAAAAATAATCATGTTTTAATTTGTCTTTTAAATTTATGATGCATAAGCTCCTATAAAAAAGCATTAAATTGACCTGGTTTTGCTTTGTAAAGCACCTTTGCCATCAATGGCATTTCCTAAAGCATCAACTACTCTGCCTAATAATTCTTCACCTACAGGTACATCTACAATAGCTCCAGTACGTTTTACAATATCTCCTTCTTTGATTTGTCTGTCATTACCAAACACGACAACACCAACATTATCTGGTTCCAAATTCAAAGCCATACCCTAAAAGGTAAATTCAAAACAGAATTAAATTTAAATTGTAAATAAAACCATGCATTCGAGCAAAAATAAACTCGAAAAAATATTATTTGCAATATGAAAGTTAAAATTAAAATTTCAAAGTATTGAACCTTTAATCCAGAGGAGAATTCCACCATTTCATCGGCTTGGATGTTTTTAAGACCATAAACACGAGCAATACCATCTCCAATGCTCACAACTCGACCAGTTTCTTCCAAATCAACTTTAGGTGTTGAACCCATAATGCGCTCCTCCAAGATAGAGGAGAGCTCGGCTGCTCGTTGGCTGCATGATACATGAATCTTCCTTGCTGCAAGGTTTGCAGCTGGGCAAGCTATTTTAGCAACCTATTAAAATTACCAGCTATAGAATACCAATTTCTCATTTTGCATAACATTTATCAGTATATCAGCATGAATGACATTTGTAGTACTAGGTATTACATAACCACTTATAATAAAATTGCATAACTTAAGTTAAATCAAAGTTATTTTAAGGATCGTAAGTGTAATAAAAATAATGGTAATTGATTGTTTAAACATTTCGAGATACATTTATGGTCAATTAAAGGAAAAATTCACATAGCCGTCGGCACACTTGCCACTACAGAAAACCGAACACAATATATTTTTGCTAATCACAGATATTGAGAACACAAAAATTACTTAAGAATACCTGTGAGGTTGTGTTTGGCAATCTCCTTGCCACATTAGCTGCAAATCTAGCAGAAATTAGAGACATTTTGTTCCAACCTATATTTCAACTTGATGAAGTGATCGACAGCAACCAGCGTAGACCTTATCCCAAAATGCAATGTGCTTTATACTCTCGCACCCGTATGTATAATTCAAATAATACTTCTAAAAAAATATAAGTAAATAAAATAAATAATGAAACAATCCCTTTTTTAAATAAATTAGTTAAAAAACATATATAGTTTATTATCAATCATTAATAATAAATATCTTTTAAGTCAATTTTATAGTAACGAGATTAAATAACTTTTATTTATACAATTCGCTCCGAGATGGCGCTGATGATTGAATGTGTGGAATGAAATGTCAAGTTCAGGAGATCTACATTTGTCTACATTTGCCGACTAAACAATACATAAAAAGTAGAATACACAATAATTGTAATTTAATTGATTATTTGTTGTAGGCTATTAAAGATTTTTTTTCAACAAAATGGATATTGACGTAGCAAAACATGTTGCTTTATATTATCGAATATTGCCCGAAAAATTAAAAAAAGTTGAAACGTATGTTTCGTTGATATAAACTTGTACAATTAAAGTATATGAATACAATTAAAATATATACTGTATTGTTTTAGGTTCTGACCTATACTTCTAGCAAAAATGGTATTTCAAAAGGCTTTATCGGTTCTCTGTTAGCTCTTGCTGAAGATAGTCTATTATGCC